AATGCGAATGACAGAACCATGTGGATAAGAGGTTTGTAAGGGGCTTCATACACTCGCATTCAATGAAGTTATTAAATATGTTACACCCACTTATACTATTTTTTATACAACAAAAAGTGTGTACTTGGATAGTACTTTTGTTACCTGTATCAAATAAGTAGAGTATCAAATATATTTTCATTCCAGAAAGATAATTTACAAACGTTATTTCGCAAAAAAAGAATTAAGAATAAAAAATTTTAAAACTATGTTCTTTGGGCCACCCATTTGTTGGACACCTCTGTTACCAACTACAAATCTAATATAATAAATAATAAAAGTAAATAAATATTTTCGTGCATACCAATCTACATGTTATAAAGGAATTTTGGTTCAAGTATCTTAGTTTATGTAATTAAAATTGAAAATTAGCTCTTACATTGGAAAATATGCAACGTCATGAAACAAAAACATACAATTTAGTCCGAAAAAGCCAAAACGTGCAATTTAGTGAAAAATTAAATTTCAATATGTTATTCTACAGATCATGAAACGGATAGATTGTCGGGTTTGAAGTTTTTACACCTAAGCGAACAAAATATGCAATAACATGAAAATCAGGTTTCCCGTTATGGCAATTTCTCACCATTTCTAGCTCCTTATAATCCCCTTCCAATACATCCTATGCAGTACAGGAGTACCATATGCACACGAAGGTACCTACAAACAACATAAGGTACCTATAGAATACAAGTAAACCCTTAAACCTAATTCTCCAAATGTCATTCCCAGATCAGTAAAGGATAAAAAAAACAAGGATAGATCACGGAATAATTATTGTTCCTCTGGCTTCAAACTGGACATAAGAAGGAAAACCAAACTGAAAAGAAATTAAGGGTATAGGAGTCCCAAAGAAAAAAAAAAAAATTATCATATACAAGAATAACTGACTATAAATACATAAAATCTCGTTTATATTGAAGTAATGTAACTATTCTTCAAATAGTTTAGAGTTGAATAAACAATGCCGTTTTCGCTAAATAAAATTTAATATAAAGCAATGGAACTGAAACGCTTTCTGTCCAACCATTTTATTTTTTTATGATTTCACTTAAAATGTTGGATATTATTCCGTAAGGTGTATTTGGTCAGGTACTCAAAAGTTGTATTAGAATCAAAAGCTTTCTTTTTTTTAATTTGTCGATCCAAGACTTCCATTGATCGACTCAATACTGTCCTATACTGCCCAACTCAAATGTTGTACTCTAAATGCTCTAAATATAACTAAGATTTAATCATGAAGTACAGTAAGTATTAAACATAAGCTATTCATCAGAAAGTATTTTGTTAGATACACTATCCTGAAATTTTAACAAATTGATACGAGGCAACAGTGCTGTCCTCAATGGAATGATATTTCGATATGGTTTCGTGGTTGATCCATCAATCATGCCGTTAGGCTTCGGTTGAACTAATCAACAAGCAATCCATCAACGGGATCACTGTCAGCAAATAGTAGATATATATCTACAAAATGGTTGTTGAGCAATCGCCTGTAAACATAAATAATTGAACCAGATATACTATAAGTTTATATAAGCAAATACTTATTTTATAATAAGTACGTTGGCAAAAGTATATCGAATTTACAAGGAAATCATTTTTATTATAAATAAATATTGTCAGGAAGGGGTTGTGACTACTTTTCCCAAATGAAGGAGGAGAAAACCTTCAAAATGATGGTTCAATCTTGGTATTTGATCAAGAATTAACGAAGACACGGCGTAACGAAAACAAAAGATATCAACAAAAGTAATATCAACACCTCCTTTCTTGATCATAGGAACCTTAAGTGGACGACATGAGACATGTATTCCATGCCACTACAATTAACGTGAGGTTGACAAACCCATTGTCTTGCATTAGTTCAAAAATAGTATAATGTTGGATTCCAAAAAGCTGAGCCCGGTAGTTCCGAAGGGTCTTGGTGTCCCAAATTCTTAAAATACCAATTTGTCCCGTTTCGATTCACCGACCACCGTTCCAGTATCATAGCCTAGCAAAATGTTCATATCGAATTTATTTGTTTTAGAAATAAATAAAAAGGGATAGTAAGATTCGTTAAGCCCCAGTGAAATGCTGAATCCAACGGAAGCACATTCAACATATTTGAGCATGACAGGTGTTTGCTTATATTTGGTAAAAAAAACCTATATGTGGGAACATGGGATATTTTCAGCGATTATTAAACTAACCCATTTAACGATTTACATCAACCCAATATTATTATGTGGATATTTTTACTATATATTATCTAATTAGCATTAACTATGAATTATCTAATTAACAGTTACAAGCTAGCGAAAATGTTTCATCGCTCAAGTTAAATTATTTTTCGAGCTTTTTTATTGTAGAATTTTACATAATTAACAGTGATTAACTTTCCTGGAAAGTTATTCCAAGTTTAGATCTTAATGAGAAAAGCTCCATGCTAAGTTAGTTAGCAAGTTAAGGGCTTTAAATCTCCATCTATCTTGTAAAGAAGTGGGAGGATTCAACATGAAGTGTTCGCAGGATTCACGAGAACATCTTCAATTTGAGTGCGCATTCATACGTTGTAATATTAAACTACTTAGCAACTTGATTATGTTCTCTCAAAAAGTCAAATAAGGAAAATTTTTATGACTGAAACGGAAGTATTATGAAAAAAAAATATATATATTTGAGTTAAGTATACATGTATGAAATTGAATAATAGTTAGTTTGATTCTTAATTGTTGATCAGAATTTTGTAAATATTGAATATATGCATTCTGGCCATAAATAGTCATAAAACCTTGTAATAGTTATTAATTTTTAGTCGTATTATATTATATCATTTCACTTTATTAGTTATTACACCCTAAGTCACATTTATATTTATTAAAGGAAAAATGTGATCAGAATTCAGACAATTGCTTTAATATTGTAAACATTGTAAATAAAGTTTTTTTGAAAATAAACTTACAAAGCAATTTGTCTCACAGCGTAATGTGAAACATTACATAAAATCAATATCAACTCTCTGAGGGAATTACTGTTGCCATGAGAGAAAAAAAAAACGTGGATGGGGTGGAGGGAGGGGGAGTATGTAAATAAAAGATTTATAAAACATTTTTCAGCATGTAATTTTTTTATGTTGTTTGCGAAAGCGATTTCTATCTTCACCGTGAATTTTGGAGAGCAACTTTTTTAATGTCACTCCTCACCACGTGTATTTCCCCTTTCTCTCTCCTCTCTGAAAACTACTTGAAAACTATCTTCCCAATCTATAGGTGATTTTATATTGAAAAAATATTTTGATTATGTATATTTTTTTTTCAATTAATTCCTTTGGTATTAATAACAATTATATCATTTTGTTACACAAAATTAGTTTGTTTAAAAAAATAGCAAACAAAGAAGATAATAATTATTGCGCATTAACTATACTAATAATTAGTATAAAAAATGTTTCAGTCGTATTTTAGCTAGTTTATTCATAAACTGTGGAAATAATTAACAGAAAGTAGAGAGTATATAGTATCATACAATTATAAATATTTTGGTTTACTTACTTTTTGGATCATTAAAAAAGTACAAATTTGTTATTTTTTTATTTTTGCAATATTTTGTAATATATTCTAAATTTATTTCAGGAAACTATTAGAATCGAAATTCAGCAACTAATTTCATCATTGGAAGCTGTGTTGATGAAAAAAAGAATAAGTTATAAAATTATTATATTACGTAACTTATGACATTTAATAAATAAATATATATATATATATATATATATATATATATATATATATATATATATATATATATATATACATATATATTTAATAAAATATAATCTATGTATGACCCAATACACAACTATCATATTTAGAGTTTTCTATCATTAGCTCGTACGATTCCTGAAAATTCCATAAACATTTAACTACTTGCAAACACGGATCCATATTTATTCCTTCAAGTCTGAAACGGAAAAGGCAAGTGGAAATTTTCGAGTCTGAGCACAAATTAAAAAAAAATAAAAAAAAATTCTAACCTAAATAATGAATTCCTTTATCTGCATTATTGAATTCTTGAGGAAGTTATAAGAACCAATTCGATGTTCCTTTCTTTATTATAAACTTTATTTAATTCTATAATATATAAGATATAAAGTTTTATTAATTTATCAAACCGAATAACATAAAGGAAGCTATATAAAAAAAAAATGCTAAAATAAAAAAGAAAACATATCTTTTTATTTTTTTTTTATTTCTTATTAAAAATATTGTAAATTACACAATTATTTATAATAAGAATTATGAGTCCTATAATAATAGATAAATCATCAGAACACTTGACGCACAATAAAATATTTTTTTTTTTCAACATAGATGCCTTTAAAAGAAATTTAACTAAGAGCGTAAAAGAGCTTTTAAAACGGTTGTAGATATTACCAGAATTCGTTTATGGGATTAGTGTATTTTTTCTTTGTGTATCAGCTAGCGAGCTCAAATCAAAAGACAAAGACCGATTCGGAGATTCAAAAATTAAGCCTAAAAATCTAAAATCAGTTTAATATATATATATGCCAGTTTTCAGCCCCCTGAAGTATTAATTATCTTTAGCCCAATTTTCAAAAACCCGAGGAATTAAATCTAGCAGCCTTCAGAAAGAAAGAATTACAATAATATTAGACGACACTTGTCTGGTTTCTAATCTTAAGCAATTTTTTCGACTTATAAAATTAATTAAATAGTGAAAGATTGTAGAATATGCGAGTGGAGGAGGAATTCAAATGAACGCCTTTGGCCAACTCTAGATCAACGCTTAATATTCTTCAATAGCTGCAGCGGGTGCCGCGACAGCTGGTGGTCTTTGTATATAGTGTATATATATTTTTTTGTGAGAAATTTACCCGAGATTGAGCAAAGCTATCATAATATGTAAAATTAATTGTAAATGTAATATAATTTGATGAATTAATATTAAGAAAAACTTACCCTACAGACTGTAACATTTTCTTGATTACCCCAAGAAATGTTGACTGGAAGATATTCCCTATCAATGAATCGGGTTGACTGATGGAGTGTAGCGATGAATGAAATCCAGGCGATGCACTTGAGAACTCTCGGCATCGTACACCATGTCCTGGCTACTGGAGCGTGGCAAACGTAAATATACCTGAAATAAATTTTTTTTTTTGAAGGATTCATGTGGTAAAATGGTAATCTATTTGTTAAAACCTTTCTAAAGGTTTTCTTTGAAAAACGTGTAAGCAAAACATAACTATACGATGCTTTAAATATTTTCCAACCTATAAACCATATTATACCTAAAGTATTGTTTGTTTGGTCTTTAAGGCGTAAAACCCTAGAGTCATCAACGCCTGTGAGTCAGTTATCTTTGTTGTCTGTTAGTTCAGAAACTCTTTAGAAGATTGGAAAAAAGAATAAATAGACAAAAATTCGTAATAAATCGTAATAAATAAAAGAATAATATTTTTTTATTTTTTTATTTGGGTTTTATACAACTTAAAGAGTCATATCCCCAATACCCAAAAGCCACTGCTCCCTGTCCATCCAATCTCCTTCAAGAAGCCCTCTGGCTGCCATGCTTTCCTCCACGTCCTCTATCCATTTCTTCTTTGGCCTTCCACGCTTCCTTCTTTCAGGTGGCATATAGGTATAAATTTTCTTTGGCAGGCGGCTCTCATCCATCCGCATTAAGCGGCCATACCACTTTAACCGTTTGGTCCCGATCAGGTGAAGGATGTTCTTCTGACATCCGACCTTGTCTCTAATAGCTGCGTTTGTGATCCGCTCGATTCTAGATTCTTCTCCAGAAATCCATTTCCATGGAAAGCAACTTATTTTCTATCTTTTTTGTCATTGTCCAAACTTCTAATCCGTAAGTGGCTACGAAAGGAATGGTATATCTTCTTTTTAGTTTCTAATCTTATTTCTTTACTCCATAGGGTTGAATTTATCGAACTTATTATTCTTTTCCCATCATTTATTTCATGTTCGATGCCAACCTCACTACCTCCCTTTGAAGATAACCAGTATCCGAGGTACTTGAACTGCTGGCTGACATTTAGCTTCCAGTCATCAATTTCAAGGGGCAAATTTGGAGCGTTGAAATGCACTCTGTTTTACTTTCACTGATCTTCAGACCCCATCTGGAATACGTGTCTAGACATAAGAAGAAGTTGCTAGCAACTTCCTCATCATATAGCTCAGATCATCCGGATCCGATGCGATTATGACTTGATCATCGGCATACTGCAAATTGTAGATTACATCATTCCCGATTTGAACACCCATTCCACAGCACGATCTTGAATAATATTTGAAACATATATAAAAAAATTAAATGAATTAAAATTAACAAATAAAAAAAACAATAGAAATTATATTTTATTAAATAGCTTATCGGTTTAAAAAAAAAATAATTTTGTTTTTATGCTCGATTCATTATTGTTTAATACTACTTATATATCCCGTCTTAGAGATAATATATTTAAGCTTGAGCATAATAAGAGCATTCTTGGAAAATATGTTTGATAGTGAGAGGGCTATTGAAGTGTGGTATATCTTGGTGGTGGTACCTAAAGTACTAATATCAGACTTAACAAACACATAGTGATTTTGATGTAAATGCTGGGAAGATATCAATATTGGTCATCTTTGCTATGATTTCGTGACAGATGAACAAAGCAAAGCCACAAAGAGATCATATTCAGATATAGTATTGTTTCATAGAATAACATAACATACCATGTTTACATTTCATCCCTCTTCGTTTTGGTCATTTTCAGACGTTTAATCACGTTACCAGCAAGATCATAAAAAAATTACAATATTACACGCTTAAAGGTGTTGAAGCTAACATTCTAATCTTAAAAGTTAATATAATTGGACCAATTTGGTAAAATAATTATTAAAATAAGGTGAAATTTAATATGAAGTATAAATAATATTAAAACAGGTACAATATTATCTTAAAAATTTAAAAATTGTCTTATTAAGGTAAAAAATTATCAAATTTTTAATTTTTAACATAGCTCCACTACTATGAAAATTGTAACCTACACTTGTACTTCGACCTCAGTCTTGTCGCAGTTCTGTATCGACGAACTTCGCAGTAATTGTTATAGGTCTTTGATAAATTAAATATATAACTGCATCTACGAAAGAATATTTTACTAAAAATGTCTTCGTCTATTTTTAAACTTTTTAATTATGTAATGGAATGCTTAACTACAATTTAGATATCAAGTATAGCCCATATCGTAACATAAATGTTATTGCTTGTTAAATTTATGTTAACACAAGCATAATTAGTCATTTTTCATAATAATGAAACATAACTAAACCTTTAATGAAAAATCGAAAGAGTTGAATGAAAAAATAAATTGATTCTACCAATTCTTTACAAATAATAATAAAAAGCTTAGCGAACTCGAAGTTTCGATGCCGACACCACCAATCGGTGAGATCACTATGCTTACAAATAGTAATTAATTTTTCTAGTATTAGTAACCATTTTTCAATAATTTGTATTTATAAAAGATGCTTCTTCTTTTTTTATCTTGCTCTAGTCCCGGCAAATATTTAATTTTTTGAATATTTAATAGTTGACCGTTGCATTATAAAGGAAGGAGATGATCCGGGGTGGCGGTCATAAATAGGCTAAATAGTTTTACCACTATTTAGCCTATTTATGACCGCCGCCCCGGACCATCTCCATCATTTAATTTTTTGTTATTATTTGGAGAGCTATACTCAAATATAAAATTCAACAAAGAAAAACAACCCTGTTTAGTTCAAATGTTAAAGCAACGTAATATATCTGAAATTAGTCTGTTTGACTTTACTGCAAGACCGCAAGTGTCTTCCAGGTCAGTCTTGTTCTTGCACAAGTCTTGCAGGATCCGGTCTCGGTCTTGGTCTTCCATTTTGGCTAGACCGATTTTGGGCGACACTAAGCTCTTGCTGGTCCATTAAAATTATATTGTCCAGCGGATTGTACAAACGCGAAGCGCGAACATCTGGTCAATAGTGGTAAAGTCAATAGTTGACTTCACTTTCACTATTCAATCCCTATTGATACTTCCACAATTCACGATTCGCTTAGGAATGAAGTCTTTTAAATAGGAAAAGAGAAGTAAACATTATTATTATATTATTAGATGGCGCTAAGACCCACTTATAGAGTCACAGCCTGCCCTATTATAGATCGCCATTCCTCTCTGTTTCCTGCCTCTAGCTTCCTGTTCCGGACACAAAGTAGGGACTTTGCTTCAGAAGCCTTTCTATCCTACCACCGAAGTCCAACTTTTCTTGTTCCAGATACTCACTTTGATATCTTTTATTTTTATTATCTGACATAAATTCAGTTCAGACTGGCTTATAGTTAAAGCAAAAAAAAAAAAAAAAAAAAAAAAGGAGTATCTACTATTTTTTCAGGAGTATCTACTATTTATAAAGTGGCTCATAAAGACCACCTAAACCTAGATAAATAAACAAAACAAAAAAAATAAAAAGTCAAGATTTAAACTGGAATGTTTTTTTTTCTTATAATTTAATTTTCTAAGCAGAGTAAGTTAGAGACTACCTTAGTGATTTTTTTTTTTCGTTGAGTGATATTTGATGAAGCAATTAGGTTAAGCTTTCCTTTGGATATTTCATCTCGTTTCCCGCATTTCGAGGAAATCTCTACAGATTCAGGATAATCTCACTGGAATTGACGGATGGAATGACAAACGTAATAAAGTCACGATGCTGTAAGAAAGCCAGCAATCTGTAGGTTTATATTGAGATGAAATTGCTTGAAATTTAGCCTTGTTCAGTCAAGAGAAAACTCAAAAAAGCATCATGTTACAGACAAGATATCTTATTGTTTCAAAACACTTATGGGATTCCAACTAATAATTTAAGATACCAAACATAAAAATCGCTCCACCCGATCGCTCAAAAAATCGTTACAAACCTTTTAGAAAATTGACTAAACACATCTCATTCTATCATGGGTCAGTATTATTAGCTTAAACCGTTGCTATATATTCACTGGATTTTACCAAATAATCTAAGAAATCAAACATTAAAATAGTTCCACCGGAAAATTTAAAAAAATCAATACTTACCGTACGGAAAATTGATTAAATAGATTTTATTTAATCACGGGTCAAAATTCAATCCATCCGTTCGCTAACAAAATCGTTACACAGTTTTTGCAAATTGGTTGTTGAACACATTCTATAAAATCACAGATCAGTATTTTTAGCTTAAATTGTTTCAAAACACTGAGGAGATCTCACCAAATAATTTGAGCCATCGACTTTAAAAATCAATCCATTCGTTCGCTAACAAAATCGTTACATAGTTTTTTCAAATTGTTTGTAGAACACATTTTATAAAATCAAAGATCAGTATTTTTAGTTTAAATTGTTTCAAAACAGTGAGGAGATCTCACCAAATAATTTGAGCCATCGAACTTAAAAATCAATCCATCCGTTCGCTAAAAAAAACGTTACATAGCTTTTAGCAACAATCCAAACACATAAACCTCGCTTCGTTTAGTTGGGTAAAATTACAATGATCTTAAATTCGCACTAATTATTTTTGGTATGTAAAGTGGTTTAAGCCTTTAATTAGTTTCTACAGAAATTCCATTTAGATTTTAAGGAAAAATTTATTTTAAAATCAGATATCATTAACTAAAACAATTACTATAGAACACTAAAACTAGTTACCTTATAAGATGTAACTTTAAAAAATAATTTGTTTTCATAAAATTATATAGCTTTCTTACGTGCTCGAAAAACAAGACGAAGTGTTTTTATCTTGATCGAAATCTTTTTTCAGATGAGATACCTTATCTTCAAATTGAAAATGGAAAACTCGTTCTAATTGGCAGGGGAATAATTATAACTTCCTCCGTTTTAACGACTCGTAATCAACTGAAAAAGTTATGAAGCACCTCTTATGTGGATAATAAACTGATAGTAATGGAGGAAACATTTTCTTGGATATTAAATAGTACATAACTTATTAAATAACAAAGGGTGTACTTCATAAAGTATCACTAATGGCAATATAAAACGTTCCTGCTTGGTCTTCAAATTCTAAATTATCAATAGCCCACCTCAGATAGCCTAGCAGCATGGACTATCGGCAGCA